CCCTCCAGACTCTTCAAAATCCTCAATGCCCTCCTTTGGACTCTCTCTAGTAGCCTAATATCTTTCTTATATCTTGGTGCCCCAAACTGCACACGATTTTCAAGATTTGTGTGCAGATGAGGCTGTCCCAGTGCAGAGTGGAGTAGGACAATCCCCTCCCTTGACCACCTGGTGAGGCTGTGCCTGATGCCCCCCAGGACATGGTTGGCCCTCCTGGCTGCCAGGGCACTGCTGACTCATATTCAACTTGCATCGACCAGGACCTCCAGGTCCCTTTCCATGGCATTGCTTTCCAGCATCTCATGCAGTAGCCTAAACAGCAAGTACTTTGTGCTTAGTTACCCCTTTGAATTAACTTCACTCAAGCTGTTCATTTTTCTGTAATACTTATAACATGATCTACCCAAAGGAAGCAACTAATTTAATCTTTCTTAATTTTATTCCAGTAGCAAAATGAAGAAATAAAACAGATAAAAAGCAACTGAGATCTATAGGGAAAGCAGCCTTTTCATGGATATCACTTCATTTTTATCTTCTTCACAGCTCTCTTGAGTGCCATTGTCCTTAATATTTGCAGTAGTCAGAATCTTTTTTATTCACCTCGGTGCTTAAAATCTTCTTCTGCTAGGGAGAAACACAAATAACAAATTAATTCTATAATTAGACAATTATATTTTCTTCCATACAGTAATTCTTCCTCTATTTTTTGTAGGATTCTTTTCTGTCTACCACTTCCTCTGATTAAGATTTGGATTTTTGCATCTGTTCCTTTGATGTCCTAGGATAAGTCAGATTGCAAGTAACCTCCAGAGCTCTCCAGTCTAATGTCAGGTCGAAGATCAAACCAAGTTGCTCAGGGCCATATCTAGTCTGGTCTTTAAAATGTCAAAGGAGGCAGACTTTACAACCTCACTGGCAGCCTGTGCCACTCACTGTCTGAATGTCCTGACATTAATTCTACACTTGTTTAGTTTGTTAATATTCCTCTACTATATACTTGTGGTGGGTTGACCTTGGCTGGACATCGTGTGTCTACCCAGCTGCTCCCTTCCCAGCCAGACAGGGGAGAGAGTAAGATGGAAAACAACTCGTGGGTTGGGATAAGGCAGTTTATTTAAAGCAGAAGCAAAGCAAAGTGAAAGATAGCAGGGTTTATGCTCTGCTCCCCATCAGCAGTGATGGTTGACCACCTCAGAGAAGAAGGGCTTCACAGCACACGTAATGGTTCCTCAGCAGGCAGCCACTGGAGACAATGAATGCCTGCCTTAGTGCTCCTTGCCTTAGCTTTTATATCTGAGCTGACGTCATGTGGTCTGGAATATCCCTTTGGTCAGCTTGGATCAGCTGGCCCACTTGGTTTCCCCTCCCAGGATCTTGCCCTTGATTGAGGATGAAGTGTTACAGTGTTGGTGCTGTGGTCAGCAATAGCCAAAACACTGGTATGTTATCACCCTTCTAGCTGCCAATGCAAACCACAGCACTGTGAGGGCTACTGTGGGGAAGTGAACTCCAGCTCAGCCAGACCCAATACAATACTGCAAATAATTAATACAAAGAATAAAAGATTTTGTTATTTTCTCTCCAAGATTAGTTTCGGTGAGGAAGATGCAGAGAATTAGCTCTGGACTTGAACTCCCTATGTTAGAAATTAGGATTTTTATATTTCAGAGCAGTTTGAAGACCGTATCTGAATGGGTTGGCAGAGTGGGTGCCCATCTCCAGTTCTTCTCAATTCTAAGAGTACAAGTTTTCTAGAAGTACTTTACTTTGAACAGTCTCATTGAAAATCAGAAAGTGTGACAGCTTCTATTTGTTTTTCTGATTGTTCCATTGTTTTTTAGTGCTTTGAAAGTTGTGTTTCTTTATGAAGAGAATATTCTTTATGAAGAGAATATTCTCTTTATGAGGAGAATATTCTTTTTGAACCTTGCTTGCCCTTTCCCTAGGAAAGGGGTTGGGAAACACAAATGTCAGTCCTCTAGTGTGGATGGTGGAGAGGAAGCACCATGGCAAAAGGACCCCAGGAACTGTGGTTTACACAGAACATAAGAGGCTGCAAAGTAAAGAGAAGAAATAACCAGGCCTCAGTGGTGATGGAAAGCAACTTCTTGGGATCAAAGACTACTTGGCAGTTTGCTTCAACTCAGAAATCCATTTAGTTGGTTGAAACAAAGCTTAAAGGACAGGCAAAGGGAGAGGTGCTTATGCCCATTGTGTCTGATCTAGTTACTCCAAGTATTCTTAGTCATAAATTCCCTATTAAAAGAAACTAAATCCACTTTTTTTTCTTTTTTTTTTTTTAATTTAACAGTCCATTGTCTTCTTTGGAGAGATGTCTATACGGAAAACATATAGGCAGATGCATCTCAGTATTTTGGCTGACTCTGGGTCCTGTCGCAGAAAATTTTAGCACAGAGCATGGGGTTTTTTTGCTAAAATTGGCTTGTTTAGTTTGACTTGCTGACTCATTTTTCCAGCTGGTCTGTCATTCTACTCAATTCCAGATGAGGCAAAAGGAAAAAGAATACTCTTGAATATCCCACCCTCTTGCCAAACCAAGTTACAATTAAAAACTCCAATTTTCATTGCAGTTCTTTATCTCTGTTAATTATCCAAGGAACAGTAAATCAGATATATTGTCGCCTGCTTGTTGTCAATAATTTAAATTCTAAATTCTTTATAGATTTGTTGCAGATTTAACACACTGCTTCTTTTCCCTAAATTACATACCATTTCGCAACTTGAATCCAATTCAGTGTTTCATTTTTACATTTGAGATCAAATGCTAGACAGTCCAGTCTAATTGACTCATGTGTTTTATACACACAAAAGAAAACCCACATGCTTTAGTAACTTTTAAACCAAAAAAAATATCAGGTCTCTAAAGTCTCTGACTAGTGGGCTTCAGTGGGTTTTACCATAGTTTTTGAAGAGAATGTATTCTGAATCAAGCATTTAGTGCACACTAAACTAGAAGCAGTGTGAGTCCAAAAAAACCCAGGGGTTTGGTAGGCAGATACCTTGTGAGCTGAGATGTGCCAATAGAAAATACTATCGTGATATTCAAATCAGAAAAAAAAATATATTAATTGAATAGTAGCAGAAAGTTTCATTAGAAAAATTATAGCTGACAGTTTGTAAGAGAAGTCAAGCATAAATGGGGGATGGCAAATGTTGTATAATATTAAAACAATAAATCAGATGTAAACACTCCAGGTGAACTCATGTTTGCACTATCAATACCGATATTTTCAAGGTAATAGAAGATGGTTTTCATCTGTCTTAATCCATATGAACTACAAGAATAAAATTTTACCATCACTAAGGCACAGTCATTCCCATATCTGTCTGTGTAACCAGAAATGTGATTGGCTTGACTTTTTACTGGGGAATGACCCTATACAGAGAAGTCTTAAACTAAAAAACAAGCACTTGAATAGTATTCAGTGCAGCAGAGTAGTTGCTTTAATGGTTGTATGGATAAAGCAAATCAAAACATATTGTTAATTAAAAATGACATCTAGCACAAAGCTTTGTTTGCCCTCCTTGCATATAGGGGTCAAGTCTAATATTCACCATTTTCTAGCTGCTGATGGATGATGTAGAGCTATTCCTACAGCTCTTTGTTAATACTTAAGCTCTCATTATGTCACACAACTTTTGTTACTTATTTGAGAAATGAAGGTTTAGGTACTAGTTACACATGCTGGATAGTATGATGAAAATTTGTATATGTTGTCATTAAAAAATTTAGCAATGATCAGTAGTTTACAGGGAGTCTTTGCAATTTTATATTGTGAATATTATTTAAAGAAAACACTACCTTATTACTCAGTTGCAGCCTGCATGCAAATTAATTGTACTATGTTTTGATTTTAATCATAGTCTTCAAGTTCCATAGAAAGAATTTTGTATTCTGATTTCATGTCATGATCTGTGATTTGTACATTGAAGAGGTAAAGACCCATAAAGAAAGAGATGGCTGAAAAGGAAAAGCAGTCTGGTCGTTGGACAGAGGGACATGAATATAGTAAACAGTTTATTAAAACTGTTGGCAAAACATTTTTCCAGCTTTTACAGAAACACTCAGATTCTGAGCAAAATATTCAGCTAGAAGCTGAAACATAATATTTGTAATTTTTCTATGTGTCTTGTAGAATTTTTAATATTTATACAGTAATACCAGGATTGGTTTTAAAGTTTTCTCATTCAAATTAAAAGATTTGCATGGAAAATAATTTCAACTGAAAAGCCTGTTCTCAGTCCAAAACTCGGAGAGAATTTGATGAATTCTCTCTGAAGCCATGACTCCTTACACTTGCTGAGATAGATTGGAGTTGCATTGTCTAAACGGAATAGAATTATGCTAATAAAACACATAACTTAAATGAATATTAAGAGCTTAAAGTAAAATATCAGAAACTTAACCCTTCTGTGAAAATCTGTTGAAGTAATTTAGTGGTTTTACATGAAAAAGACTGAAGTCTCAGCATAATGAGAATTTGGTTTCTGTAGTATATGGAAATTTCATATTTTTTTTCCTGAAATTATTTTATATCCTAAAAAGTCCTAGTTTGCATTGCTTTGAATTCTACTGCCATGCATATATTCTTTTCAATCCATTGGTAAACATCTAATATTATGTCAACTAATTTAACAAAACCTAAGAAGTTATAATTACCACCTTAGAAAAAAAAACAAAACTAAGAATTTAAATATTTCATGAACGATTACTAATGTAAGAACTTTGAAGTATGAAAGATTCATGAAAGAACATTCTTCTTGAGTTCTACTTCATGAACAAAATAATAGGAATACATAAAATGGCGTAATTTATTATATCTTTTGTCTTTCATATCTATTATGGTGACAAAATTGGAAAGTTCACTGTTTTCTTTTTCTGTTCATTTGTAAGAAAAATCCAAGTATCATTAACTTGAGAGTCAGAGCTAACAAATTATGTATGGTTAAGTTGTATGCATTGTTTTTAACTTGCACAGGTACGTGTGTTCACATTTTCTGTTGGTCAACATAATTACGACAAAGGACCCATACAGTGGATGGCCTGTGAAAATAAAGGTACTGTGTTCTTCTCTGAAACTGATCTTCACTAGATCTTTGGATAGGTGATATCTTTAGTATTCTCTAAAAGTGGCAAATTTTTCAGGTGGATTTTTAGATTTAATGTATTCGTTAATAAAAGTTCCAAAAAGTATATGCGTATATGAAAAAATGTCTATAAAAAAGAAGCCTCTATGTTTATTTCTGAGTAATTTATTTAAAACTTCATGTTGTACAAAAATTACCACAGTAGTTTTTATATTAATAAAATGTTATTGTTCACTTTTGAGAATATTTGTTATAATAGCCATCTATGAAAAGATGGAACTGATGACAGATAAGAAATTAAGCAAAGCTGTTTTAAATTAAGTGGTCTGGACAAAAGGGTTTTTGTTTGGTTAGTTGGCTGGTTAGATTTCTTTCTGTTTTTCTCCAAAACTTACAACGGATCAGATTACTTAGAATATTTTTCCCTTTTATAATGAAAATATCAAAATTATTCTTACTGTGATTTCTTAGCTTCTAAGAGCATCTTACATTTTCTATTTTTATCCTGATTTATGTAAAGGGGAAAAAAAGTAAAAAAGGTGAAAGTAAGGAAGTAAAATGCTTTCTACATGGAATTTCTACATGAAATTCCCACATGAAAAATATTCTCAGAAATATTTTAAGAATGTGAGAAAGAGATATCTCAAATACCTTACAATATAACTATAGAATGAGGCATAAGATATAAATACAGATAAATAGAAAATATATAATTTATCAAACGATATTTGCTCATATTTTAAATACAGCAATTTTCAAGCCTGAGTGAAAATGTTAAAGTATTTTACAAATCAGTAAGAAGCAAGAGGTTAGAGGTGAGATAGATTACATGGAGTCTTGAAAATTAAGATTGCTGGGGAAGAAGATAAAGGTATGTTCAGGCAGAAGAATAACATAATCGAAAATGAGAGAAAGGTATAGATACAGAAAAAAAGATACATAGAAGAATCCACAACCTGTATGAATACTACACATATCACAACCTTATGAATCCCTCAGCATGCTAGCAAGTTTTGCAGAAGATACTGCAACTTCATGAAGAGCAGACTGTATTGTCAGATAACTACAGAAAATTGACATTTGTGTTTTGAACAGATTTTTTTTTCCTTACATCTTTGTATCTCAAAATACTGTGTGCATGTGACCTCCATTGTTTTAAAACAAATGAGAACCAGCTGGCTTAAAGCATAACCACCTATGCCATTGAGGAAAAATGATCATAATCTTCTTCCAAAATTGATGTGATTATTTGTTCCAACATCCAAAGAAGCAGTTTTATTTCATTTTTCCTTAATTAAAGGTTTGTGCGTAGGGCAAAGGAAATGACTAAGCTCAGTACTCTTACCTCTCCAATCCTCTACTCCTTCTTTCCAATTTGACTTAAAATTTTCCTGGTCTCAAGATAAATCTCAGTGCTTGGCTTTAGTCTTATTAGTTCATATAGGCAATATTTCTAATTCAAACAAAAAAATAATAGAATCAAAGCTGAATAAAGACATTTCTCATGTTTAGTTAGAAGTAATACCCATTAGATTTTTTCATCCTTTCCACAGAATACCTTATATTTTTATACTACAAGTTCACTCTTGTGGCAGACCATAGCTATATTTGGATTCCTATACGCATTCAGCATATAATTATGTTGCTATCAGAGCATATTAAAATAACCATTAAATATACTTGCTCATCATAGTAACTGGGATTTCATGAGTACAAACTCAGTACTTTGTCTAGCCTTAACCAAAACAGACAAAAGAAACACATTGTATACTCTCATTGCCTAAGAGTAACTAGCTTGGTCTTGAATGGCATGGTGACCCATCATATGTGGCCATGCACTGTGGTGGCATCTACTAGAAAAGTATTCATACATGATAATTCTAATAAAAATTAAACTAGAAATTACAAGCTAAATGAAATTCCTCAAGATTAAGAGACTAGCAAAATATTATAGTAAGATGACATTATTTCTGTTCCAAACTTTAGGTTATTATTATGAAATTCCGTCTATTGGAGCCATAAGAATAAACACCCAGGTAAGTGTTTTGGCCAAATCCAGGTCAGTTTTAATACACAGAAGTGGAGTAATTCCTGTTCTTAAATATGTTTTCTTTTCCCATCTGCTTGAATCAATTAAATTTTAAGTTGCACTACATTAAAAACAGAGAAAAAAATAAGGCTTTCCTCAACATATGAGGGATTATTCTGTTAAAGTATTCTAATTTTTTCTTTTAAGTGATTGCAGTGAGCCCATTTAAAATGTGGTCCCTGTTTCCCTGGCCAGCTGGTCCACAGCAGCCTGCATGTATACTTGTCATGTTAACATCCTCTAAAGAGGCTGACCACGTGCACACAACAGAGCATCTGAAGTGTTCTGTGTCCTACAGACCTCTGCAAAAGGACTATGTCTGTGTCTCAGTTTTTCCCTGTGCCTTACATAGTCCCTCAAACTTTGACGCTGAGACATGACAGCAATTTTATTATGAAGTTCTACAAAACCAGTAATTTTTTTATAATGTGACTAGACATTCATAGTCCACCTCCTGCCATACTTACAGCATGGTCCAAAGGGTTTGTATCACATGGAGAAGGCTGTGGATGATGGTGAGGGTATAGCCCTGCTAGAGTTTCTGAACTCATCTGAGCAGACACGCTACAATCCTGCTTATAGGAGGGGTTCCTGGATGGATCCAACCTCTGCAAGAGACATCATTTTTCCCTTCAAAAAGAATGCAGGAATGTTTTAACAGACATGCATGTAGTTAACTAAGGGCACAGGACTCTGGCATGACCTGATGGGATCCAAACTAACAGTGTAGAAGAGCAAGTATTCTTTTCAGTTGTCTGAAAGTCCATGTACTCACATGTCCAGAACAGCAGAGAAATATCATGGCAGTTCTTTGTCCTTCCAAGGCCAGGCATGATATTTTTTGGCAGAAAATAAGAGTCCTTTTTTTGGCTTGAGTAAGTGTTCTTTGATTCTGTTAAAGTCTTCCAAATAGTGTCTGGCAAGAAGTATCCCTAATATGTTCAGTCAAGTAGAAAAGGTTGAAAAGTGAAACAAGTTTGATGGCATCCACTGCCAAAGCAGTCCAGAAATCTGACATCTCATAAAATCACCCAAGTTAGCTGCACTTACAAACTGAAGAAAGGCAGGAACTATGAGGTTTTATAACTGTGATTTTTTTTTTTTATTTCAATAGAAGTTATGCAAGTTGTTGCTGTAGGAGCTTAACATACCCAACTGTTACACCACTCACCCTCCATCGCCCACTCTCCCTTCTGGGTTGAAGGTTCTGCAATCTGCTTGTGATTTCATTATGTCATTAGCAATTAATTTTGGAATAAAAATAGTTGTGATGCTCACTTCATGGAAAGAGAGTTGTGGTGGGTTAGGTCCATGTGACTGAGGCTGAAATACAGAAGTTACCTTGTTGGTAAATACTGCAAACTGAAGACTGAAACTTTGTGTAGTACAGTTTTAAAGAAACAATTAAATGCTACTCTTATATTAGTGGTGAATTTTGAATTTTTTTCCCTGATATTGTTTTTATTTCATTATTGTTTATTTTTATATTGTTTGGGCTCTTTGATCTAATAACTGCCTTCTGATAAGTTTATTACACTTTTTGGCAGGAATATCTGGATGTTCTGGGAAGACCAATGGTTTTAGCTGGAGAGAAAGCCAAACAAGTCCAATGGACAAATGTCTATCTGGATGCTCTGGTATGATCTCTATTTATCTCTAGTAAAGTAAGAATTTTAGCAAATCAGTAACCACATGTGTCTCTTTTCCAGAGCATCCAATTTCTTACAGTTCCAAACCTAATATTCTTGTGTTTCTGACATCCATACAGTTCAATACAGCAACCTCTAGGAACAGAGCTGTTTCTAGCATGCTAGTCAGCACTTGCACCTAGTATCCTTCTAAGTGTCCTGAAATTTAACAGAGAAAAGCAAATTATTCTACGCAGATTTTTAAGTGTAGGTCCCTGTTGTCCTCAGCTTAAGAAAAGAAAAAAGGAGATAGTTTTCCAGTGTTCTACCTGCTGCACTAAAGGTAATTTGTTACATTACTAGTGAAGAATTCTTAGTTTTTCCGCTTTTTTTTTTTTATTAAAGAGTATTCCAGGTAGAACGAAACCTGTCAGTATTACTTGGTATTTGTACAGATTTTGAACTTGGATCTTTAAGATATCATGGTTGTAATTGCTTGCTTGCTCAAGGTAATGATTTCTTTAACTGGAGAGTATACAAGTGGGAAATAAACAAAAAGATATATGCAATGCTTTCTTACTGCTGAATTTATCACTTTGGTCTTATAAAACAAACACGTTTGGGAAACTACAAAAGTCGAAGTATTGTTAGCAGCAGTGTAATCTGTTGCTCTAGATAACATTCTTCTGAATTACTCTAACAGTGCAAAAAAAATACTGCAAAATGGTATTTGGAATCATGTATTTATCCACGTTCATGTGGTCATCTACTGTCATGTGTAAAAAATCCTTTTCTTCCCGTGCGTCCGTACTACTGTAGAATTTTTATCAACGTATAGTTTTTATTATCAATATAACTAAGCATGACACAGAGGAACTAGTTTTAATTTGGAATTTCAATGGCCAGAAGTTCATTATCCATGTTTTTTTGATTATTGTTGAGGTACTGACTGGAAACACAGAGGATGTGATGACAAAAGTTCGTATGTTCTGTACACATCCTGTTGTAAATCCAAAGATAAATTTGTAACTAGAGATAGAGAGAGATCAGTTTAGTCAAGTAAAACAAGTGATACGTGCAGGCATTTGTTGTGTTACTATATATTCAGTGAGCTCATTCAGTCTTTCCTTCAATCTTTTCTCTATTCATGTGTTATATATGTGGGTTTGTGTATATATAATTATGCATACATACACACACACATATATAGTTATATATAAATAAAGTAGGACAACACAAAGTAAACTATTGAAGGAAAGGCTGAAATTTGTGGACTTGCTCATCACAGATGAGAGCATAATGGCACAGGTGTATCTAACCCACTCTGAAGCCTTTTCCTGATTCTTGGTTTTTTGAGAGAGTGGGACTAACTTATCACATTGGTTCATTATCTTAAATTCCCTAAAACAATTTCCTCATGTGGGGCTTAAAATTCTCTTGCTTGTGCCTCACTGGCTTTATTCCTATCCTATTGGTCTTACTGTCCAGCAACTGTTTTGGGGCTCAGACTAAAGTAATGCAAAGTGCATTACATGAGGCCACATTAGAATTGTCATTAAACTCAGGTTATCAAATTCTAAAGAGATGCTTTCATTTGAGGCTTGCTTTCAAGGCTGTCTTTAACAATTTGATGTATTTGTAGCAATTCACACCTTTTTTATAGCCCTTTTCCCTTGGATTCTATTACCGTGTTGCTCTTGCATCATTTTCTGCAAGATAATCCCAGAATTTTCAGATACTTTTGGGTTTATCAGTTAGACATAATTTATTCACAATTATTCTCCTCTTTAACTCTACTTTTTTTTCTTTTTTTTTGCAGAGGGGGGTAGATGGTGTTATCCCCCATACATACCCCTCCTGTTTCATTATGTATCTTCAATTTACTTCTAAATAATGTCCTCTCTCTTTTCCATTGATTCATCACCATTTCTCTTATTCTCCTACAAAGTCCGCTTTTCTGCACCTTGTGCTAATCCTTGGATTGTTCTAATATATTATAGTTCAATATTTGCTGTTTAACTAAAAAGTCTTTTTTCCCCTGTTTCCTAGGAGCTGGGCCTTGTGATTACAGGAACTCTACCCGTCTTCAATCTAACAAGGGAACAAAATGGGAAAATTGTAAGCTGTTCCTTAAAGGGAAAAAAAAAAAATAAAAGGCAGCAGTTATTTAAATTAAATTAATTACATTTAACGTTAAAGGCCTTGAAAAATGTGTATTTCCATAGAGCATTTTGCGTTTAATTGTCTTGTACATCGGAAACAAAAGGGTCATATCTAGTTACTTGATAACCTTCTGGGGACAAGCAAATACAGTGCACCCCTTTTCGTCATTCTGAGTTTCAGGATATGACATTTTTTGATCCATCATTGTGACTTGGTGACAGTGGGAATGCATTAGGTGCTCAACAGATGGGACATAGATGATGATATTTTTTAGACCTTGCCAAAGAAAGGAATGTTCAGATAAATTTATAACAAATCCTTGAAGCTATGACATTTCAGGGTAAAAGGCAATGATATAGAGAATTTAAATTAGTTGGTTGTAATGCTAATAGAAAAGAGCACTGTATACTTAGATTAAATTTTAAGTGTTAAATAAATACAATTGCCCATTCCTATTACTGTCTGAGATGGAATCAATTCATGTCCTCTTCACAAAATCAAAATGCTGTTTTTTTAAAAACAGACTTAGAATATGCTTTACAGTGTATGGTAAAATATTGTACATTTGGTCTGATACTCATGTTCACTCAGGTCAAAATATACAGAAATTTAGACAAGCTATTCTTTCATTCAGTTTCTCAGGTATTATGTAGACTCAGAGTGAATAAATGAGAATTTGATCACTATCATTTCTTTTATTCACCTTCAGAATAGTTCTCTTAGTTTCCCTTTTAAAACAGAGCAACAAAAACAACCAAACAAAAAAGGTTCATAATCTTATCCACAAGACAATGCCTGGAATTGACTGAGTCTGGTTCAAAGTGAGACTACTGATTATCAAAGGATGTCTTTCTGAGAAATAAAACAGATATGGCCTAGTACAGAGGAACAAGAAGAGAATTTGAAACTCCTCAACTTATATTTCTGCCTGAATTTATTTACAGACTGCAGGATACCTCCTCCAATAAATTTTACAAATTTACTTAATATGGAGAAGGGATTCAGGTGATAATATGTAAATGACTACCCTCCTCTTCTGTAGTAGGAAAATAAACTACAAGTGAAGTAAATGTAGTACCTGAGTCCCTAATTTCAAATGCTGTTGATTCTTATAATCACTTTTTTTTGTTGTGATTTTTTTTCATTCGTCTTTATACCATAGCCAAAAGAGTTAATTGTTTTGAGATCTCACTTACCAATTGCCCAACCTAAATATGCAAAAGTAGCTCTATGTTTCTACTAGTAGTTTAGTATCTACATAATTGGCAATATTATTGCATCACTTTTGCTTTCACCTGTTTTGTTCTTACATATATTGTTTATTCATCCAGGAAGTTATCCATATTCCTCTTCATAAACAATTTTCATATTCTATACTAAATTCTGAATTTATTAAATTTTATTTTGAATTACTTTGACATTATTTAAAATATTTAGAATAGACACATAAGTAAATAGGCAACTTCTCAAACTGTATCTGCCAATCAAGAGATGAAGGTAAAAATAAAAGTTTACTGACTGCTGCAGTTATTCTGCATTGTAAATATGTCAAACATATACTAACATTTTGGAATGTTACCAGAATCAACTGATTCTTGGAGTAATGGGGGTCGATGTCTCTTTGGAGGACATAAAAAAACTGACACCCCGATTTACGGTAAGCTGTTTGCATTTGTGGTTTCTCTTTATGTATGATTTATTTTTGATTTCTGTGCATGCTTTTTCAAAAGTCATGCAGTAATGACTGGATTTGAGTCAAAATACCAGCAGGCTTCTTTTCATATATTCTTTTCCATTGTTGTACATTTTCTGGTGGTTTTCTTTCCAGCCATATGTGTTTCTGTGTGATCTTTCCATCAGGATGCATCTGTAAAACTCAACTTTTACATTAGAGGATATATTCCAAGTAATTATTTTCCTGTAGCTTAAAGCATTGCCCTTTAGCTGAGTGTTTGGTTGTTAGTGTAGAGTACACAATCATTTCAGCTGATAATAATATTTGGCATTTTTATGGGACAGTTCTTTATAGAAAAGTTCTTTAATATACATGTCTGTCTGTACCCTACTCAGTGTGATTGATTTATATATGTAGACATCTAGTGCTGAAATTTCTGACCAAATAACTAGTACTGTAGAAAACAGCTGAGAAAGCAAAGGAACATCACGAATTTGACTGAAGGCAGATGCAAAGTCCTACATCTAGAATGGAATAATCCCATGGCACAGTACAGGCTAGGACAGACTGCCTCAAAGGGCAGGAAAGGACCTGGGAGTCGTGGAGGACACGTAGAACGTAAGTTAACAGTTTGCCTTGCCAGTAAGGGAACCAACTGTGTAGTGAACACCTGCATCAGGAGTACTGTGTCCAGATTTGGTCTTCTAAGTATAAGAAATACACTGAGACTCAGCACAGAGCTACTAAGTTTACCAAGGGTCTGGAGTACATGGTACACAAGAAGGAGCTGAGAGAGATGGATTCAGGCTGAGGAAGGAACCTAATGGGTTACCAATGAAGGTTATGGAGAAAATGGACCTGGACATTGCCTCAACAGGAAGCAATCAAGATAGGTGTGGCAATGGAAATTCCAACTGGAATTAAGGAAAAAAAGGGAGCAGGTTGCCCAGAGGGATTGTGGAATTGCCACTGGAGGTATTCAAAGACTCTTTGAAACCTAGTCCAGCTTCAAAGTTGGGTGTTAGTTTGAAGTTATCTTTGCTTTCAGTGAAGTGCTGTACCAGCTGACCTCCAAAGGTCCCATCAGGCTAAACTGTTCTTTAAGTTTATGATCTTAAAATAAATATTAAGAAATTATTCTTTCTATGTTAGTATCTGATACTTCTTGACGCCTGAGGCAGTGTATTTTCCACAGTGTGAAAATTTCTTGAAAACCATTAATTACTTATTCTTTATTACTTAAAACCTTATAATGGTAAACTTAATTTCTGCCTTTCAGCTTTGTCCAAATGGTTACTATTTTGCCATTGATCCTAATGGGTATGTGCTCCTGCATCCAAATCTCCAACCAAAGGTATGAAACACCTTCTAATTTTTTTCTCTATAATAAACGGGCATTGTCAGAAAAAATCAGAAACTAGAAGCTGCTGAAAGTCCAAGAGAGTAATAGCAAAGAACTCTCAGTTTTGTGGGTGTCAAGAAAATCTATGGTACGTGTATGGTTTTATTCAAATCCACTTTAACCAGCACAAAGGCCAGCTTTGGTTTGTATTGAATTTAGTTATCAATAAAATAAAAAAATATATACATTTTGCATGTACATTTATACATGTGAAGGTTTTTTTTATGTAGTTTGCTTATTTTCTCTTTACCAGAGAAGAAACCTGAGCTACAGAGTTGTGATGGACATAGCTGAGCACCCCTTCCCAGAATGTTAGGTAGTTTAACTTGAGAAAGGTCTTTCTTCTTTAAAGATGAAATTTTTATCTCAATATGATTAGGACACAATTTTCCTCAAATTTCAGGAAAATCAAAACCAAATATTTCAGTCTGGCTCATTATCCATTAACTGAATCCTGACCTTGTGGAGACTCCTGCATTACATTATCTTCTTAAATAACTTGCCACTCTGATTTTGAGGAGAAATTTCAATACGAATGGATGTGGCTTTTTTCTGAAATCATAAGTTTAATCTTTGTTTTAATGAAAAGTCTCTCCATATGAAACAATCTTCTGTTTAGTGGGCTTTTTGAAAATTCTCATATTTTAATTCCATTAGAAACATAATTTCAGTAAATTTTGTCCCTTGAATTCAAAGAGCACAAATGGAGTGTTATATAAAAGGCAAAGTTAAAATTTATTTAAGTAAAAAATAAATAGAAAAATCAGTCTGAATGGACAGAAATGTACAGATTCTTTACAGATAAAAAGTTAAAAACAATAATGAATCCCTGTAAGTATTAGGGACTAAAGAATATATCCGTGTGGTTCAGTTGTCAGCATGGAAATTTATCTCATTAAGATGATTTGAGCTGTTTATCAGAGAATCACAGAATACGCTGAGTTGGAAGGGACCCACAAGGATCACAGAGCCCAACCCTTAGCCTTGCAAAGGACCATCCACAAGAGTCACACCATGTGCCCAAGAGTATCATCCAAATGCGTCTTGAGCTCTGTCAGGCTTGGTGCTGTGACCACTGCCCTGGGGAGCCTGTTCCAGTGCCCAACCACTGTCTGAGCGAAGAATGTCTTTCTAATATCCACCTTAAACCTCTCCTGACACAACTTCAGGCCATTCCCTCAGGTCCTATCATTGGTCACCACAGAGAAGAGATCAACACCTGCCCCTCCACTTCCTCTTGTGAGGATGTTGAAGACCCCAATGAGATCTCCCCTCAGTCTCCTTTTCCTCAGGTTGAACAAAGTACTCTCAGTAGCTCCTCATATGTCTTTCCCCAAGGCCGTTCACCTTATATGAATGACCAAGATGAATGCAAGCTGCCAATACACAGATAAATAAGGCTTTTAAGCTTTAGTGGTACCCTAGTCCTATGTTATCTTTCAGCACACAGTACATTTGAGAGAAACTTCTTGATGGAAGTCAGTATTTTCTGCCTTTAGGCAAGGAAATAATATATTTTTTTTTATAAAGTAGATGTATATCATCACTTTTTTCCTCCCAGCCATGTTCCAAGATTAGTAGCAAGTCCTTGACCTTTGCAACTTTCCTTCTGTAATCCTGTCATAGCTACAATTGTCAAAGACAGAAAAAGAAATTAAGAATTCATCTACGTATTTTAGTAATTAATTTAATTCTTAAGCTGGGGGAAGTCTACTTTGTGAATATTTGAATTAATTTCCTGGTGAATTAATTAATATGTTTGAAATCTTTTGCCAAGTGTATAATGCAAGAAGAAAGAAAAACGTGCTTCTGAAGAAAGAATAACTTGATCGTAACTATTAATGAAAAAATCCTTTTGAGTTATTTTTAAAGTCTCTTTTAAAAAATAAAAGGAAAAAATGGAAAATAAGGTTTTTATATAGATTTCAGAATTGAGAAGGACTTCAGTTTCTGTATATCTGCATTGGATTTTCATGCGTTAAGAAATGAAAGTGACCCATTTTCTCAATTAGACCCATTTTCTCAATTAGAGATTATAGTAATTCAGATGATGACAAGTGGCCTATTTACATTTTCCTTATATGCAAATTAATCTATGTTTTCATTAACAGGAGTAATATAAGAAGAAGCAATGCAGTATTCTCATTTTAGGCATATTCTTGCGAGAAACTGATGGATATGGATTATATTTATCTCGTATATGCTGTTATCCTGCAGTATAGCATCATAACATTGGAGAATAAAAATCTTTGATAGTTAAAAACTCAGCTCATCTGAACTAATTTTGACAGTCTGAGAGGGATTATTAGGATGCTAATTGTCATGATTGCTTTGTATAGTTTTCTTCCTAAAAGGATATGGAAGTTTAGAGATGCTTTCCCATACTGCTCAAATATTTGATTTAGATTATGCTTAAAACAGTATATTTTATAAGTGATAATTTTTGTGTTGTAGAATAATGTCTAAATGTAATATTAAGCATATGCGTAATTAAGCATATTATTATTGTTATTGTTGTTATTAACAGTTACACAGACTAGACTTTTTCACTCCCAGTTTGTTTGGGGTGGTGCATGCTATTCAGACTGATACAAGAACTACGTTTTAAAACTAAGGTACACTGCAAAGACAGATTATTTAGAATTCATGGAGTTTCTTTAACATGTCATATTAATTTTAGTTGAACCTCCTGGTAGCCGTTAACGTATTAACCAACAACATCTTAACCCTTTCTGCCAGCAATTTTTCAATAGATCTAAACTAAAACATAACTACGTCTTTATCTTTGAAGAGGTGAGGGTTTCTTAGACTTCCAACGCTTCCTTCTTCTGAATGTCTTCTACTTTCCTTCTGAAAATCTATTTCTTCTGATCACAACTGGTTCAACACAATATTTTGATAAGCTTTTTGCAGTATCAGCTCAAAGAAAGAAGGCCCTAGAAATTTAGAACTTGTAAAGCTGTTTACACAACTGATGAAAGTTAACAAAAACAAGTTCAAAAGCTTAATAAAATCATCAAAAACTTTGGCATCATGTTCTTATTTGCACATGAAAACTATGTCAAAGCATAACATGAGAAATCCTTTTTTTTAATTATTTTTCAGCTTAATATAGTTTTAAACTGCTTAAAATGCCATTTTTTATGTTTGTGTAGTTATATTACAAGTGTTTAATTTTATGTTTCACTGCAAATTTTTTTTGTGTATCTCTGTGTATGTGCATGTATTTTTCCCATTGTCCTGTGAGAGAACAGGTGGTTATGCCACCAAATAAACATAGTCACTGAAGTGAGTCCGTTAAGCATGTGTTAACAAGCTTAATCCTAATTAGATTTTGAAAATAGTGAATAATTCAACTTCCCAGTCTGTTCTAAAGATTAACATCCTTTTGTTCATTTTTACTATGGTTCTGATCAAAATCCATTTAATGATAGTTTTAAAACTCCATATACCTTCAGTATTTTGTCTTCTAGTTTGTGATTATTTAAGAAATTAAAGAGGAGTTGAGTTTGAAGAGCAAATATAACAAAACAAGAAGTGAACTCTGCATTCTATATTTTATGCTGTCAGAGTATGTGGGAGGGACATCTCTGTGTTAAATTAATTCACATTAACATATGTCTGGTTTTTGTTTCCCTAGACAAAACCTGTATGTAATTCTGACAGAAAGCTCAGAACTCCTGATCAGAATGAGGGCTAGTCTCTGATTCCAGTAAATGTACACTGGGGAGCACAGATGTTGAGGAAAACCTTCTCTTCTATAAGTAGGCTGTTTACTAATAGTGCAAAAATATAAATTACTGCTTTTTTGTTACTTCAGCAAATTGGTGTGGGCATACCCAAAGTTAAATTGAGAAAAAGGAGACCCAATGTACAGGTAACTTTGGATGGAGGTGATTAGTGCATTAGAATGCATAGACCTGGATATACAATTAGAAAGCTTCTGCCCTGCTTACTAGGAAAAATCTAACTAGAGAATTGTTTATTGTGACAAACAGCTTCCAAAGCATGAAGCTTGCATCCTTCCTTGTTTAAACAATAGAAAAAATGCTGTAGTGAAGGGCATTCCATTAAATTATGGTGCTTTACTAATAGGTGCTAATTAGAGTCATGCTGTAAAAATTCTTCTTTGGATTTTGAAATTAATTTGAAGACTGGAAATAAAAAGAGACTGCTTGTGCTGGCTTTGCTTGCATAAACCCAAAGTCAAGAGAAGATCAGAAGATCATTCTGATGACTTTATTGGCAAGTTTTATAGTACGGTATATGCTGTATAAAATGACTGTATTTTAATGAGCTGTTCAGGTTTTTTCCCGGGGAAGTCAGGGTAGGGTATATGTTCTATCTGCTATTTACATTGGGTTTCTCGGTTTAGGAGACCCATCTCCAGAGAATTAGTTGCTGTTAACCTGAACAGGGAAACTAGTCCTGTTTATGTGTCGCAGCCCCTGAGCAGAAATCTCTTTGTGAAAACATAAAAATCATTAAAGAAAGAAATTAACTATGTAACTAGCAAAATAGTAAACTTAAATGCAGTATGTTATGTTAATTCCTTACACATATGGGAATCTATAATGCAAGACTTCTGGCCTGCATAGCAACACCATTAAAATGTTTTGTAAAATACTGATTTAACTCAAGTAAGTGATTTCACCAAATTTCAGGTGGTTACCTTTATACCACATGTAGAAGGCCACCTCTGTGCTGGATTTTTTGTTGTGCACTGGAGAAAGCAGCACTAGAACATAAAAAAAATCTCAGTTTTCTGAGGATGCCTGGCTCCTCAGCGTGCTGTGGTGTGGTTTGGCTGGTGCTGGGTTTGCCTGGCTCTGCTGGCTGCCCAGTGAGTTGCAGCACTGGAAAAGCTCTGGGCTCCCATCCACTCCAGATGCTCCTTTGTCTCCATCTGTGGCCCAGGATTTTGCTGACTTTTTATCATCATTTATTTTAAAAGCCTAATAGCCTGTCTTCATTAGTACCACAGATAAGAGTAGGAACTAAGTTCCTGCAACACAGCAAAGAAGGCCTTCCCCTTCCATAGAATCTGTGAGAATACTGACCTCCCAAAACACATGACAATGATATTTTAATTACCACTTGTTTTATGTTGCTGCACCAGTTCTTTCTTTCTTTGTTTCCTTCTTGAGTTGTCATTGAAATTATAGATCCTTACCTTTATTTGTCATGCTGAAAGTGGATTGCGCTCCTTTTTTTTGCATGCTTCATTGCTAGTGATTTACTTCTGTTTTGTTAAGTTGTGCTGGTGAATGTGGTGGTGTGCTTATTCCAGTCATGTTACATGCATGACTGGATAAGGAGAAGAGCAAACTGAACGTTTGTTTCTTCGAGGCTTGGAATAAACTCCACTAAATGGCAACCTTGGAAATAAAAATTATGGAGCCCAAATACTGGTAAAAGCACATTCTTGGGGGGAAAAGATGTAAGGAGGAAACAGTCTTCAATTTAAAGTATGAGTTTAAAAATATTCTAATTTCGAGTGGTTATTTTGCCTCAGGCACATCACAGAATGTATTTATAGATGCTTTGTTTCTTTGCCTATTAAAAGTCCTTAATTATATAAGAAATGTGTGGTGGTATAACACAAGTCTTAAAAAGAATAAGAACAAACAGTTAATGCATACTTGAATTTTGACAGACTGTTAAAATTGACTATTTTGTCTTTGGGACTCCTTGACTATGGCTAGCCCAGGTTATCATTTGAAATGACTATTGATCTTGATTTGATGTGATGGCATTTTTTTATTTTTCTTTTTTTTACCATTTCTTTTCTTCTCTGTTCCTTTGTGTGTTGGAATGGAATGTGAACTTCATAAATGCCTCCCCTGCCATGCCAATGCCTTCATGCATGCTGTTTGGGTTTGACCATGCTATTCATTATCCATTGCATGTAAGATATGTAAATTTTTATTTATTTTTACATATTAGCATTTTGCTGTTTATTTTGAGAGTGTGGATTTGTTGGTGGGTGGAAAGCAACGGCATAACAACGATTGAATTGCTTTGAAATAGTAGACAGCATATGTTAATGCTATTATATTAGAGTTGCTAATTTTATCTACCATATATAAAAAGAAATGTAAAGATTTTCCTGAAGTTTTCAGTAAATATTTAAAAGAAATACCCAGAATCTTTGTCTGCAATCCTTCCAGTGCATATTCTCTTTCTGATAATAAATTTATTGGCTTTTCTCTTAGCAGACAGTAAATCTTACTTGCTAAGAACAGGAATATACCATAAATATGTACATTTTTTCCTCAAGAAAATGAATACTCTTATGTCTTCTAACACTATTCTGTATTATAGTCTTGAAAATAAGTGCTACTGTTAAATTCTTAGTGCTCCAGACTATTATATGAAGGCATTTTTTACCAGCTCTTCAGAGTATTGTTTTCTTCCAGTATGAACTGGAAATACATACATAAATTGTTATGAAACATGCTTGCATTCTTTGATAGAATAGTCACATGTACATTTGTCAGGTCACTTTGCCAGAGAATGTTAGGATAGAAGGAATATAATCATAATTTTGAAGGAAGAGACTTTAGTCTACCCTGTAAATGTTAATATAGGTAAATCACTGAAATCTCTTGAAAATGTAATTGTCAGAAATTACACTAGTCTTGAAATAATAGTGTCAGCTAATGAGAAATTTTGTGTTGCTAATCGTATGAGAAACAGTGCTCAATTACTGAGAAAACTAGGTCTTGAGATCCTTTCATATATCAACTGGGCTATTGCACAAAGCAAATAATTATCAGTCCAAAAAATTTCATTTTCTACTCTGAACTGTCGTATTTAAATGGTTAAATAATATATCGACATACTCCTTTTTCTAAAGAAATGCACTCACTTTTAGCTTGGTGTGCTAAATAATTGGATTTATTATGCACTCACTTATTTAGCTAGGTGATGAAGATTGATGATTTTTACACCACATGCAATATAAAGTCAATGAGGCTTTGGCAAAATTGCTAAAAAAAAAAGTCGGATTCCTTACAATTCATACAGAAAGTGGCTTTGGCCGAGTAAGTGCAGATTGCGACTGAGAAAGAAGCCGAGGCTGGAGGGTGGTCTGATCTTGTTCAGCAGAGCTACAGTGGTCTTCCCACATTCCTTTGGGGCCAGGGTTACTGCAAATGCAGGCCACCAAAATTCTCTGTACTTTATAGTTGAAGGTTGACATCATCTACATTCCTTAAGTCTGGAAGCTTGTGTTTCAGTATTTCTGTGCTACAGGTTTCCATCTCCTAAATTGAGATAACAGTACTGATGTCAAGAGAAATGCTTTCAAAACTGCAAGGTTTTCAGGGAAGTCCTGTAATGCTGACAATAAAGTGGGGTTTGTTTTTTATAGAACGCAAATAATTTGCTTTAATTGCAGCCTTTTTGAGTCTTGAACCATAGTCCACTCCCAGTCATATCAGCAAGTCTGTAATCTGCTCTTGGCAAAATTGCAGAAGAGTACGGTTGGCTGTACCTATCTTATTGGAAAACACTCCCAAATTTATCTCTCCCTTCTTGGAGGCAGGACATCTAGTGAGACTTCATATCTGTGCTTCCTCTGATGTGTCTGCTCCACCCTGTACAATCTGTAACATACCAGAAGAAGGGGAAGCAGCATCCCAGCATGAGACCCATACATAAAAGGCTGTGGACAAACACCGACAATTAGTGTTAATTTGATTTGCACTTAGTCAATTAACCTCTCTAATCCAAAAAAATAAAATAAATGAGTAAGGGCCACTAGTAGTGCTACAAGAGATTAAAACAGATGGGTAAGTAAACACAGTTAAGTAGGTTATCTTGGAATGAAAGGATTAGAATGATTTGTAACATTACAGTACTCTGTCTTTATTATTTGATCATTCAATATCTTCTGCTTCAGAATCCTAAATCCCAGGAGCCTGTTACACTGGATTTTCTAGATGCTGAATTGGAAAATGATATTAAAGTTGAGGTAAATAACCTATTTTCTTAGTACTTATTGCTGCTTGTATTTCACCATATAATAACTGAGAGGTGATAAATGTTCTAGATTTTGAATGAAAATCTATTTCACTATAGAGATGAAATTATAATTAGACAAATTAGGTTCCAGTATTATTTGTAGGCAAGGGCAATGAATTATATTCCTCTCATTTTGAATGATGCCATGATTGCTATTTAAATTATTCTTCTTCATAAAGTAACAATTCCTAGGAAGGGGAGAGAGTTAGAAATTTTTTTTTAAAATGGAACACTTTTTAATAGAATATCAAAATACTACTTGAAATATTTTAGGAGTGTTTTCCTATCTCTTGTTAAGGCAAGATTATTCCTGTGGTGAGAAAGAGAACTGAGAGAAAAAGTGTTGACAACAAGTTAATTCCTCTATATATTTTTCAGTTACTGAATTTGTAATACATTCAGAAATCAGAATTTTTTCACTTAGTGTGAAGTTGTTCTTTCATGACATTAACCAGCATTCCTCAGTATCTGTCAAATTCTGTCTTAAGTTTCTTTGAAATGGCTACTTCAGAGACAAGTTTCTCTCAAACTGGTACAAAAGTGTTTTTGTGAATCAATGTTACTACATCACAAAGATGTGCTGGGAGGCAAAAGAAATGCTAGACAAAAGGTGTGACTTTCATATGCATTACTGTTTTCTGCGTTTCTATGAAATATTTTGAACACTGAAAAGATTATTCATGTAAAATGCAACCCTTATACCTTCTTTCTTTTCGTTTTCCCTTTTCTCCCATGCTAATAGATTCGGAAAAAAATGATAGATGGAGAAAGTGGAGAAAAAACTTTTGAAACCCTGGTCAAGTCCCAAGATGAGGTAAGAAAGGAACACAAGGAATTACATTTACAGGAACAAACCAAACCAGAAAAATACTGAGAAATGGTGAAATGCTGTGATGTTCATTTTTTAATGACAGTTTGTACCATTTTTCCCTCTAGATTTGCTATTTTGACTGGCTTATAGTAAAAAAAAAATATGTTCTTATGAAAAAAAGAATTGTTTTGTTTCTTGCTTTCTTTGGTGCATCATTAATCAGGCAGTTGTTGATGAGGTCTTACACTCTGTTCACCAGGAAATGGACCCAGCCTACTTCTCTGTATGAATCCCAAAACAAAGTGCTTAATTTGCTTGTGGAGATGTGTGAGGATGGGTTTGGTAGTTTATATTGTGGTTGAATGGGAAGAAAGTAGTGAGAAAAAAAAAATAAAATTTTTATGCCATAAATGAAGACTATTTGGGATAAGCAAATTCATCTTACAGTTATATCATGTACTTTCCAAATAGCTTGTTGAGTTCTTTATTTTCTTGTCCAAAATGCTTGTTCCTGATAAACATTGCTGCTGTTTTCTTTAATACATAGAAACATTTCCTAGCAATAGCAAATATTCAAAATTGATCCTTACATTTGTGCTCTACTTCTCTGGGACCTTAATGAGAAGAAATGATTACTGGTGTTCTGAAGGAGCAGTTCTGGCCAGAGTATGCCCCTCAGTTACAGTTGTACAACAGCTTTTTGAAATGTTTTACTCTGAATATAAACCATCTTGAAGATAGCTAATTTAATGATTTAACAGACACTGCACATCCGTATATATAAGCACACTTTAACAATACTTGGCAGAATTTCTTGGAACTGTGCAGTTAATTTTCCAGGTATGCTATTAGCTGTCCTTTCCTGTTGATCTCCTGTAACTTTGATATTGCAACAGCTCTGCTGTTCGTACTTAAGTGTCAGAATGTTCCAGAAGAAATTTCCTCCTTCTCACAAGATATATGATGCAGAAAGAAACTAATCAGGTTAAGTCGATAGGAAACACGCCTTGGAGAATAGAGGGGGTTTATTCTGTTAAAAACAGCACATTCCTTACTTATATTCCATTCAATGTCTTAACTGGTATTAACTTTTAAACTACTCCCAATACTGAGCAGTCCCTTTTACCACTTCTCTGAATCAATCCTACATGGAGGGAAGATTCTTATATACTTGTTCTCACTTGGACAGAAAAAAACGGTTTGTATTCCTAGTCTATTCTTGCTTTAAACATGGTAGAAACTTACTTGTCTTCGTGGGTGAAAATTAGTAGCAGAGCCTATGTTGTCTTTGCTAAATGAGACTGAAAATGGAGGAGAATTTTCTCAAACGTCTCGATAATTCATCCATGCTGTGATTTCAGAATGTCTAGTTCATGGTCACTTGGATCTACAACAGGCCTTTGGAGACATACTTAGAAGTATTGAAAGGCTGCAATAAGGTCTCCTTGGAGTCTGCTCTTCTCCAGGCTGAACAACGCCAACTCTCTCAGCCTGTCTTCATAGGAGAGGTGCTCCAGCCCTCTCACCATATCTGCCCTTCATCTGGATCTGCCACAACAGGTCTATGTCTTTTGTTTACTGATGACCCAAAGATGGATGTCTCATAACCATTCCTCAGCTTCTTAGTATCTGCACTGGATCTGACAAAGCACTCTGCTTCTGATTGTGCAATTTAATAGGAATGCAAATAAGGACAGGTCACCAATCTTAAGTTCTTCAAAACTGTGCAAGGTGATCTTAGCTGAAAGAAGATTATAGTGATGATCCTATAATCATATAGACAGCAGAACTACATTAATCTCTATGAGGAAAACCAAGTCAACTCAAGCCTTACACACTTAAGTTGTCCAGATATAAAGCATACCTTAAAGTTATGGTCCATGACCCTGTGGAGTCCCATGATCTCATTAAACATGCCCACACTAATTCTCTGTATCCAACTTCATACTGCCTTTCACCTCTTCCCATGTTCCTCTAAAGCAGAGACCTGTATCAGCAGTCCCCTTGCCTTCTATCAGGACTCTGTTGTGTGCTTTCTCAGAGTAAAATGCCAAAACAAAGCTTTACAATGCTGCTTTACAATCTCTGGGTCAATCCCGCTACGTGAAAAAAAAAATGTGTCTTTTCCTGAGTGGTTCCACTGGTGGAGGGTGGTGAACAAATATGTCCTTTCTAGGGCAGAGAGGATAAGCCCTGCTGGATGTCAGTTCTGCTCCCTCATCTGTGTCAGGAGCCCATGTTGTTTAAGATGCCACCAGCCTGTTCTTTGAAGGGAGAGTTGGTCACTCCTGACCCACTGTCAGGGAGTCCCAATTCCTGCTGGCATCTGTGCTGAGGATAAACTGCTCCAGAAAGGAGAGACTCCATGCTGGGATATTTTCAGATTTATGTTGTTCTGTTTAAGGAGTTCCTTTCCAAACCTATGGGTGAAAAGGGCTCTGTGTAGGTGGTCAGAAGATGGAGGGTTAGAAGGTCGCAAAAATACAATAACATGGTTAGGGTTGTACAAGAAATTGCTTTAATGGCAAACATGTTGAAGAGATTTCAGGCTGTTCTTACATTTCTCAGGCTTTGTTATACAGAAGACCTGAAACAGTAGGTCTGAGCAATTCTTTGCCCAAAGAGGGAGAGAGGGAAGCATTGCAAATGCTGAAGTCATTTACAGCACCAGGGCAGGAGGGAGGAATGTAACATCCCTGGGTGCGTGAGAATGTGCCGGTTACACACGGCCTAGACCACAATCTGTGTTTGAATAGAATATCCCAAGCCTTTTGATCCCAGATGCTTCAAGTGCCAATGAAATTAATTACCCTCACCTTCCCTTGCATCATGGCCCAAGATTTTTTCCTCTAACCAGACCTCTCTGAGAGAAGGGAGCAGCCAGAGCTGGCTGGCAATGATGACTGCTTCAGGCCATTGCACCCTCCCAGCTCCAGGCTGCTAGAACCAGAATAAAACTGCTTTAAACCACGGGCCATGCATGAGCCATGCATCACTTAGCACTTGATAGCTTCATATATTTTCTTATAAAAAGGGCTGATGTGGTCGGTTGCTCTGAACTGACAGTTGTAGTCTTCAGGCTTCAAATTTATGTTCTTTTTGTTTTGCTTTTTGGTTTAAGTTTGCATTGCTTTCCTTTTGTATTGCAGCTGGTCCCAGCAGTGTCTTGGGAGATGACTTCATACTACAGCATAGAGACTGGACTTGTAGCAAGTGTGGGTGGGGTGCGCTGGAGTCTCCCAAGGCCTCAGGGGCTTTCCAGCTAACAGAGAAGATGCCATAGGAACAAAAGCATTGCCACATTTGGCAGCCGGGGTGGGCAGTAGTGAAAACCAAAGGGTCACAAAAGCTGCAATAACATGTGTGGGTTCTTTGGCAGAGATAGCTGGGGATGAGATGATCTCAGACCACTCAGTAATGAAGTAGGCAAAGGTAAATGGGAGCTGATGTATGAGGACGTGATGGGTTACCTTTGAAGGAAGGTCTCAACCAATTTACTTTCAAGCATGCTCACAAAAGGATTTAAAAACAGCCCAGTTCTTCTCTTCCTTCCCTCCCACCTTGAGCACTGCTTTTCTTTTGTGGAGATACCTGGTGTGTGACCCATGACCCTGTGCCCAATTTGGAGGGACTGCCAGCACTAGGTTCAAATGTCTACTTAGTCTTAAGTTGAAGTAATAGTATGGGCACATCATTGAATATAAGTAGGCTTGGATAGGAATCTTTTCAGCCATCTTTTTACCTTAAATGTGAAATATATCAGGGCATTAGACACTGATATATACATCTTTTTTTCTGTTTTTCTTTTATCCTTTTTTGATTTTCTTTCCAAAATTGCTATTAAATTATTTACACTGTCATTCTATACTGAAAAGCAGTCATCGGGTAATGAGAAGATTTCAATTTATAAGTCAAATAAGACACTTCTTTTCCACAACCATGGTCGTTATCTCACTATCCTTTTACCACAGGGAAAGAAAGAGGGCAGAGATATACCTGTGGTACCTTTCACCAATATTTGTAATGTTTCAGTGCAACAGCTGTATAGTCTTCATTGCTGGCATACTTACAAAACTCTGATTGTAAAATAATGATATAATATGTTGCAGCTGGCATAAAATTATAGTTTTCAAAGTGAAAAACTGAGTAAAACAATGTCAGCCAGGTGGATTCGTGATTAAATCTATGGGGAACTGTGGGACTGTGATATGACACTATTTTTCATACCACAAGAAAACAAATAGTAAAGCTTATTCCAATGTATTAAGTTATTTAAAAATAAACATTTACTTCAGTGTTTATTTTTTTCCAAATCCAAGGCCCTTTTAACAAGATTAGAAACACATGTAAGTTTAGCATAGGGTGTCTGTACAATCAAGATTACCTAGCTGTGCCTATAATTATGATTCAAATTTAAATGCATTTAGCCAATACTGCCAGTACATGAAAGCACAGGCACTGGGTGTTTTTTGATGTTAAAGATTTTGTAGGTAAGCCTTTTTTCAACTGAGTTTTGGGGGTTTTTTGGTCTTTTTTTTTCTATTCGTAGTTTAACTGCAAAATGATCCATAAAAGAGATAATTTTTTTTTTTATTAAATTGAAATCACATAGAAAAAGGTTTGCATATGTCTGGGTAAGGAACTTTAAAGGGAAAATTATAGGTCATGTTTGTCTGGTTTTATTTAAATTTACATTCCACTAATGTTCAATAAAAATTATATAGTTGATTCTTTTGCAAAATATAAGTTTGGAAAATATTTAAGAAAAGGAGCTGCAGCTCAACTCATGCTTTTAGCAAAAAAATTAATACAAATCCAACAGATTTTTCTTTAATTTAACACTGTATTTCTTAAAGAAAGGTCATATTTGTTTAAGATCCA